ATAAAGTTTCCAAACATAATTCAATAATTGTTTAAAAAATTTTTTGTAAAAATCTTCGTAAGAATTCAATTTTTTTCATGAATAATAAAAATTTTTCTGGAATCAATTATTTAAATTAGAATTTTCATAAAATTAGTCAAAAAAAATCGATTATTTAAAAATATGTATAAAATTCTTTGCAAAAATTAAATTATTTTTATAAATATTTAAATTCTTTGATGAATAATAAAATTCGTTGCAGGAATTCAATTTATTAGCAGGATAAGAAAAAAGTAAATATTTTCGATGAAAATTAGGAAAAAGTCAGAAAAATAAATTATAGAATGGAATTTTTTTCAGTTTTGTAAAGTGTCTAAAACTAGTTTTTTTGGTCGTCAAGTTTAATTTTTCCATAGCTAGTTTTTATACTTTGTAAAATAGAAATTACTAATTCTAAGATTCATATTTTTACAGTTTTCAGTACGAAAATTAATATTTTGTTAATTATGGAAAAAGTTATGAGCTTTTAAAAGTTGTCCCTCGCTTTTAAACTTTTTGATCGCAATCGTCATATTTATCATAATATTTCTTTAATAAGACAATAATTGGCACATCAAAATTACTTATGGGAAATAGATGTTGAAGTTATAATAATTATTTTGAGACATAGTAAATTGATGTGCTTCGTGTCGTCAAAAAACTATCATCAAAAACTAACAGATAACACACGTGCGTAGAGACTTCGAAAACGAGTGAAACCCCACGTGTAAAAGTTCCCGGAGTCTCTCGGAATCGTTTCCGGGGGTCTCCCGGGGATTTTTTCAGGAGTAATTCTGGGAGTTTTTGTATATTTTTGTAGAAAATCACTTAAAAATACCAAAAAGACTTTAATTTTAAATTTAAATTCAAAATTTAAAATTTTAATTTGTAATTTTAATTTTTAATTTTTATTTTAAATCGGTCAACTGGAACTCGAGAAAAAATTTGTTTAATTAAGACTTCAAAAAACTAAGTTTTTACTAACATTAACAACAAATTTTTTTTTATTTAGAATTTTCAAGGTTTTTTTTACTCTACAAGGAGTAAAAAAAATTATTTTCGATGAAAAAAAATTTTTTTTTTAAATGATTCGTTTGAATTTTATATTTTCATAAACACTATTGTACCAACTTATAAAATTATCTTAATAATTATAATCTCGAATTATTATTATTATTCAATTTCAATATAATTTTAATGCTAACGAATCATTAATTCTTATAAAATTTATTGATCCTAATTAGATTTTATATTATTAGCTTCTCTATTCAATTGAGAAAAAATAGAATATTGACCATATTTGGTTCTATGAAAACATGTACTAAAAGGTAGATAATGTCGTAAGAGTCGTGTAAGTTGAGGCAAAGAAGTTAATGCGCTCTAAAACTGAAGGACACTGCACAATTCTGTTAATGACTTCAAAATAAAAACAAGATCATTATAATGTTATAAAATTAATTCAATTTTTGGTAATTTAATATCTTTACGTAGTAAATTGTAATCGAGCAGATAATAATCAAAGGGTATTCCAAGTTGTTAAGCCGTATAACGTAAAAAATTATTTTGCACGCATTCAACTCTTAATTAATTTATATTAATTTATAATAAGCATAAAAAATACATTTTGTCCATAATTGTGTATTTACACTGTAAACCATAAATAACAACAATATTTTAAAAACATATAATCTTTTTCATGTTAATTTTTTGAGATAAGCAAATATTTTTTTAAAATCTAATAAATGATTTGCCTGTATGAAACAATAAACTTTTAAAAATATTTGTGATTTCTTTTTTTTTAAATAAATAATACAATAATTTTATTTTTAAGTAATTTTTTTCTAAATTTTGATAAATTTATTAAGTATATAAATTATTGAATAAATGATTTATCTGTATGAAACAATAAACATTCAAAAATATTTGTGATTTCTTTTTCTTTAAAAATAAATTCAATAATTTTATTTTTGGGTAATTTTTTTCTAAATTTTGATAAATTTATTAAGTGTATTTTAGAGAAAAAATTGTATTTACTATATAGTTTAATATATTTAATATATTTACTAAATATTGGAAAGAAAATAGTTCTAATGTTCATAATGTAAAAATTAAAGAAATGAAAAATATAAATACAAACTTCATCAAAAAATTAAACAACATTTAATCGAAAAGGAAACAAACAAAATTTTTTAAAATTAAAAATATAGTTTTCGATTTAAAATTCAGATTTATTATTTAATATTCTTAAATTTCATAGTGAAGATGAATTGTATATATCTCAAAAAATTAGCTTCAAAGAGTGTAGTATCAATCTGACAATCAACAAGACGTATTAATTTGATTGAAATAGAATTGACATTTAAAAAGATCAGTTTTTAACTAAATATATATAGTAAAATTATATTTATTTTTTACTTTGAGACGAATCGATTGGTCTATACTGACCTACAAGAGAAAAACGGCGATAAAAGCGACACTCTCGCTTCAGTTGATATTTGTAAGTTTACACTACAAAAATTGCGACCGTATAGGAACAATGTAGTGACATTAACACCATACAGACTTCGCTCTCGATAATGAATTTTAAAAAAGTGTCAAAAAGTAGCTTTTAAACTAAAAAAAGTATCTGTCTCAAAAAATTAAACTTGACGACCAAAAAAACTCGTTTTAGACACTTCAAAAAACTAACAAGAATTCCACCCTATATTTTATTTTCCTGAATTTTTCCTAATTTTCATAAAAAATATTTACTTCTTTTTTATCCTGAAAATAAATTCAATTCCTGCCACGAAATTTATTATTCATCAAAGAATTTAAATATTTATAAAAATAATTTAATTTTTGCCAAGAATTTTATAAATTTAAAAAATCATAAAATACCTAATTGATTTCTTTTGACTACTTTTATGCAAAATTGCAAATTCTAATTTAAATAATTAAATTCTTAAGAAATTCTTATATATTCATGAAAAAAATTGAATTCTTACGAAGATTTTTACAAAAAAATTTTAAATTATTAAATTCTGTTTGGAAGTTTTATGAAAATAGTAGATATTGAAAATCATTGAATTGCGAAAAGTTTTTAAAAATAATTAAATTTTACAAACAATTCTATTGAAATTTTTGACAATAATATTGAATGTTTGTGTGGTATTTTATTAAATTCTTTTGAAAATTATTGAATTCCTGAAATGAATTTTATTATAATTTATGAAAATAATTCAATAGTTGCCAAAAATTTTATTAAAATTTTCAAAAATAATTGAATTCCTGAGAAGAATTTTATTATATTTATAAAATAATTGAATTCTTGCTTAGAATTTAATCAAAAAATTTATTTAAAAAATTGAATTTCCATGAAAAATGTTATAATTACTGAAACTAATTGAATTATTGTGAAGAATTGTATAAAAATTTCGTTAAATAATTGATTTTGCCGAAATCTTTTTGAAAATGATATTCTAAATTAATTTAATTAATGTGGCAATTTTATTATTTATGAAAATAATTGAATCACAATTCCAAGAATTTTTGGGAAGAATTTTATTAAAATCTAAAAGAATAATTGAATTATTTCAAGAAAAATGTAATCAAAATTGTATTTAAAATAATTGATTTCTTTCAAAGAATTTTATTAAAATATTTGGAAATAATTGAATTTTTGTGAAAAATTCACAAGAATTTTGAAAAAACATTTTTTAAATAATTAATTTTTTCGAGAAATTGAAATTAAATTTTTAAGAATAATTACATTTTTCTTAACTAACTCCTGTAAAATTGTATTAAAAATAATTGAAATCCTGCGATCAAATTAATTATTCAATTGAATAGTTGTAATAAAGAATTTTATTAAAATTTTCAAAAATAATTTAAATCCTGAGAAGAAATTTTTTTATTTATGAAAATAATTGAATTATTACGAAAAATAATATTAAAATATTTTAAAAGAATTGAATTTTTGTGAAAAAGATTGTGTTATTTTTTAAAATAACTGAATTCTTTATAAGAATTTTATAAACATTGTTTTAAATAATTAATTTTTTCGAAATATAATAAATAAATATTTGAATTCTTGTGGAAAACTTTATTTGTGAAAATAATTGAATTTTTCGATTAATTAATTTAAAATAGTATTAAAAATAATTGAAATTCTTCGATGAGTTTTATTATTTATGAAAATAATTGAATTCTTGCTTAGAATTTTATCAAAATTTTTTTTTAAAAATTGAATTTCTATGAAAAATGTTATTATTAGTGAAAGTAATTGAATTATTGTGAAGAATTAAATAATTTATTTTTTCGAAATTTTTTTGAAAATGCTATTCTAAATTAATTTAATTCCTGTGGAAATTTTATTATTATTTATTTATCTATTATTAAAAAATTAATCATATTTAATATTGTTTACTGTAATAATATTTTTATAAAGATAAAAAATAATCATCAATAAGATAATATTTAAAAAGAATATGAAATTAAAAAAAAATATTTTTTTAAAGCTTATAAAAGCTTTTAAGCTTTATAAAGAAAATTAATCTATAAATAAGAAATAATTTTTGTTATCAAAAATTGTTATTAAATTTTCATTTTATTTATTTAACTTCTTGCCATGAAGATAATTGCAAAATGTAATAACATGTAATAAATCATTAATCATAAATAATGAATTAATTAATACTATATAACTTGAATAATTTAATTAACTTACGAAAGTTCATTAATTATAAATCAAGTTAAGTTGTTATTATTTGTTAATATATTAACAATGAAAATTTTATTATATTCGAAGTATTAAATTTTTATAATTTTGTGTATTATTAGATTATAAATGAGTTAAAAAAGTGCATAATATATATTTATAGAATGATCAAATGTTACCGCCTTGGATACATTAGTGTGTGTAAAAATCAACAGGTGGCTTACGTTCCCACAGTTGATACGTTCTACTGATCCTATATAAGTAAGCGCTCTCGCCCAACCGCTTCATCCTTGTCTTTGGGGAGCATAGTATACAATGATCGTATAGTGAGGATACTGGTGCTGAAACCCATTTTATTTATATCCGCATCCATTTACACTGAATGTGTAATAGATGCAATTTTTGTAAGCCTCTTTACTTCATAAGAGGTTCAATTTCTGATACAAAATTTATTTCACTTACTTTTATCACTCATTTTTAATTTATTTACTATATCTATTCTTACTTTTCTTACTTTTTTTTTTTACTTTTTGCAAGGAAACTCTATTAAACAATGAACTACTCATACTACTGATTAATTAGTATTATATTATAATATATTATATAATTATATTTAATTATAATTATTATATAATTATAATACTTTAATTAATATTAATTAAAAATGAATATTAATTTTATCTACTGTACTATAATAAAGTGCAAAAAGTTTTCTAAAAATAAATTACTGTTTAATATTTTCAATAGGAAATTGTAATTTGGCAAAATTATGAAGGTTTTAAAAAAACTTGATGAATTGACAATATAATTTATATTGCTTAATTATTATAATTATTACGTTTAATGATAAATTATAAATATTAATTTGAAATTAAAAAATTCCACTAGAATTTTCTGTAATTTGATTTGTTTAACGTGGAAAAGGTTTGAAATTTAAAATTACATAGACATAATTCAATAAGAAGCTAAGATTTAATATAATAATTACATAAATGAACTTTAATTATCTTACTTTAATTAGTATTTAAAGTATTTTAAATAATTAAATTAAATTTCATCAAAGATGGAAATTATTACTACCAATTTTTTGTAATTGGTATAATAATTTCTTTAAAATAAATCAAATTTATTATTATCTATATATACATATATATTATGTATACCTAATAATCGTTTATTTCAATAAAATTTCACGAAATATTCAATTGTTTGAAAATTTTTTGATTATTTTTTTCGGAAATTCCATTCTCTTGAAGAAATTTTATTTAAAATTTTCCAGAAACCTAATTTTTTCAGAATTTCTAAATTAAAATATTCAATGCTTCAGAAATTTTGTTAAATTATTTTAAATACTTATTATTGTTATTTATTTTTCTACAAGGACTGAAATTTGAAAAAATTACAATTTTAAATCTTCTCAAATTTAATTATTTCTAAAAATTACAACTGTAATTCTTTCAAAATTCAATTGTTTTTTAGAATTTTTAACTAAAATTTTTCTTTAATGCAATTATTATTTTTAGAAATTTTGAAAAAAATTTTAAATTCGATTATTAAAAAAATATTTTATTTAAAATACGTCTAAAATATATGAAGCAACATTTAAAGCAAAAGTCGAAACCATCACATTTTATTATTATTAATAATAATATTAAGTGGAAAATCACTTTAACAAAGGACATGTTTTCTACTTTTAGCCTTTAAAATAAAGCTTACAATATTAATATTTTCTATAAACAGAATAAAAATATCCTCTTCTTATTTTTGACATTAATTACTTATTCATTTAATAAAATTGTTATTTAAACATTTTTTTAGTTTATTTAATAAAAGTATACATTTTAAGCTTAATTTTTTTTCTCCAAGTACTAAATTTTGTTTAAACATCAATTCGATCTGACTACTTATTAATATTTAATAAAAAAAACCTTTCCGACTGGAAAAATAATTTGTAAAAAGAAAACAAATTTTTAAATGCTGAAAATTCGTATGAATCTCGAAACGAAAGCTCAGAAAAGGAGAAAATGACTTTTAATTGCGTATAGGTAGTGACAACATTGTGAAAAAGGGATATATTTAAAAAATATTTTTAAGTACCTACCTATTTATTTTATTGTTAACTTTAAAAAAAAAATTTATTGCATAAATCAAATTCAGATTAATTAATTTGTTTTTAATTTATTACCAATTTAATTTGGTATTTAATTCAAATATATAATATTATTTTCATATAATTCTGTTGAAAAAAATATAAAAATTTTATAATTTTTTTATTCAATTATCGCACAAATTATTATTAAACACAGATTCACAAGTTTCAAAATAAATATAATTCAATGATTAAACAATTCGGTTTGTAAAATTAGTGAACAAAAAAATGTATTATATTTATAAAATTAATTTTGCAATATTTTAATATAGCAAAAACAGAAAAGACGCAGTTTTCCAAAGTGATAAAATGAAAATTAAATATTTTTTAAGAAAACTACATTTCATAAAATGCTTTCAAAAAGTAATTTTTATACTTGTTAATAATTATAAAAATAATAAGAAACTTTTTTACATTGAATGCTTTAATAAACCGAAAATTTATGAATAGAAAAAATTTGCATTTCAAACAATTTTTTTATTTAAAATAATTTAATAATTTAATTAAATAAATTAAATAATTCGACTTTTAAACTAAAAATTTAAAAGACAAATAAAGTATAATATATAACTATTATATTACCAATTAATTATGAATAATATAATATATGTCTTATTTGGATGTTTTTGAATAAATGTCTGCATTTTTTCGCGGATATGTCTCATTCGACCGTTGGTGTTGCTGTCTTTCAATTTAATCATTTCATTTTGCGATATGCATAATTTACATCTGCGGTCCCGCAAGCGTAGCCGTAGCCATCGTACGACCACAGAGCTCAACATTGTTTTGAGTCCTAGTGGATGTAAAATATCAATAAAAAAGTCTAGCACAGATTAGCGATCTCACGATTGTACCATAACAATCGGGACATATTTTTCTACATTTGTAGTAAATTGAAAGTTAGATCTTTGGGAAATTATTAAAACTACCCGACTTATACTTATAATAATATATTGTTTTTATCATTTTCTACTCTTTTCGTTATTTATCTTTAATTATGTTTCATTATAAACTTAAAAAAGAACAAGTAAATTTGCAAAAAGTAAAATTAAAAAAAATACTGTGCGATATTGGAAGCCTTCAATCGAAATTTAAATAAATTTATTTAACTTCTATTTTTTAAAAATATTTTTTATTTTCTAATAGAAAAAAATGTTAATACTTTATTTCTAGACATGTATATACATATATCTACATGTATTCACCTATAATATTATGACAATATATATAAGTGAAGAATAAAATTTTAACCCCTTCGCTGTTTGTATGAAAAATATTATGTCCTTACTAAAAATTTATCAAAAATGTGATCGTTTATCTTCGTATGACTTACCAACTGGATCAATTTTTTAGAATTTGTCTGTCATAGAATCTACCATTCTTAATCTTATAAATCTGCATTCAGGTTCATAATTTATGCACCCAAAAACGTCTAATTATTCATATAAATCTGTAATTATTAAAAAAAAAATTTCCTCACTTATAAAAGTCGATGTTTTTTGAGGTTAGGAAAGAATCCTGACGTAATAATAGAGCAAAACGAACTTCAGATTGTGTAACAACGGTTGAATTAATAAAAGACCTTTTAAATTAATCAATAATAGCATCCTCTGTATGTTTTAGCAATCTGATCAATGAATTATTATTTTATTATTATTATTTCGCTAGAATTCCCTCTAGAGCTTATAGCGACGAGATAAAAAGAGATGGACACACATTCCATTGCACTGCATGTCATAAATATTTCAACAATATAAGAATAATTATATTACAATGATTAACAAGTTTCGAATTTTCATATGAGATTTTTAATTTAAATTAAATTAAACTAAACTTTTAATTTATTCAAATTTTTTAATAAAAATATTCGTATAAATTACTAATTGGAATAAAAAATAAAAACATTTAAAATCTTCATGATTAATTTTTTTATGAAACAAAATTATTAAAAATTTTATTTGAAGGAGAAATTAATAAATTTCGTTCATTTGAACGTTTAGAAATTAAGGATAATTATTTTATGTTTGGTCTTTTTTTGGTTTAAAATAATTTGAATTATTTAAAGAAAATAATTTTTTATTCAATTCAAGTAGTTGATTGATGACCAACCCACGTTGGTTACTTGTTTGAAATGTAGAAACAGTAACAACCTTGGAAAGCAATTAACGACAGAGTGACCCTAATAACGATTCTGACAGCTGCTAAAATGATTGCTTCTATTATATGTACCAAGACTTTTAAGATTTTCTACAACTGCAAGTTTATATTATCAACGTTCCCTGTCAATGACTTTATATCTTATGTCATTGTTAGTCCACTCTTTCTTTCATTTGATACAGCTTTTCATATCAATGTGACAATGACACAATAATACAGAGTTAAATTCTTTCAATAGTTTATTTATTTTTCTGAAAAATTTCTTGAAAATTATTCTAGAAAAAGAAGTATAAAATATAATTGAAGCGTTTTGTGCAGAAACCGCATAAGTCCATTTTTTTTGAAAATCACTTTTTTATTGAAAATTTATCTTTAAATGAAGCTTTTGAATCTGGTAAAATATTACATAAGTGACTAAACTCTAAACCCTTAAAAAAAATAATTAAAATATCATTTTGTGCAGAAACAGCACAAGTCCATGATAAGTTTTATATTTATTTGTGATATTCTTGACGTATTTTAATAATTTATATTAAACAGTTTATATTATAAATAAAAACACTCATGGGAAGCAAAAAGTGACAGTGCTGACTGAATTATTTTAAAATTAGAAAATATTGAAAATTGGTTAAATTTATTCTTAAAACAATTTTATTATTTATAAAATGTTACTAAAAATTATCCAAATTAAATATTTTAAATAAATGTTATTAAATATTTCATAAAACTTTGATATTTCACTGTATTTAATAAATTTTCTTTGTTTTTCATTTCACTTTGTGCAGAAACAGCATAAGTCCAAATGTTAATTTATTTTTTAATTTTTTATATTAAGTAGATAATTAATTAATCATATTGGATTTTTTAACTTATAGGTTAGTAGAATATAATGCAAAAAGCCGAATTAAAAAAAATCTTAACATTTACGAGAAAAACAGTTTTTATTGATTCCTGAACAATTTCGAATTATGGACTTATGCTGTTTCTGCACAAAACGCTTCAATTGTTCCTGATAAAAAGCTATACAGCTTTTTATCAGGAACAATTATATTTTATACTTCTTTTTCTAGAATAATTTTTGCTGACATATTATATGACTATATT